GGCTAGCTCTGATAGTTTCTCTCAGAGACAGTGGCGTAACCCGTTGTGATCATGGATTTATTATAATATCAGCTGACTGTAGCTAACTAATGATCAAACTAATTACAAAGTGGATAGTGCAAAAACAACTTGATAAATGGAAGTTAATCACAGCAAAACAAACAAAGAAGGCGCTAGCATTGCAATTTAAATGACTAGATAATGTTAGCATAATCCTCACCATTACCTTTTTATCAAATCAAACTTTCTACCAGTTACTGGAAGATCACGACATTCAAGCCAACGTTATAATTGGTCTACACTATGATCCCTGATGGTTTGATGGTGGAATTTTGCCCCTGGTATATCATTTTCGTCTAAAGTGACAAGTGGTATTTGATTCATTTCGGCAGTGTTTGTCCGAAACATGTGGGCGGGAGTTGACAGGCGGCGGGGGCGTGTCTTAGTGACGTCATTTAGATAGTTCGCTATAGTCATGAAAAGAAAGGAACCTCAGTGAATGAGAAAGTGTGTCCAAACTTTTGGTCTGTACTGTATATAGATACTTTATTGATCCCCACAGCAGAAACACATTTATTTAGGTATTTTGAACACATTTACTTTATTGAATATGGGTCTCAATATTATTTCTTAATAATTTTTTTACCCGACAAGACGAATTCGGTTTCACCTCCACACACAGCTTGGGCTCTTAAACCCAACTCCTTGAGAGAGGTAGAACGCTCTATTTTTATGGCGTTTCCCGCGGGGAGATGCGGTGAGCGACGGTGGTATACTCCAGTCATGTTCCTCCGCCTTCCAGGGCTACTGGACAGGGCCCGGCTGTCCATGGTGGGTTTTGACCGTGCTTTGTCTGCATCGCCTAGGACAGGTTTTCTATGGGGAATGCTACCAGGGACATAAAGCCCCAGAAAAAAAAAACACTCCCCCCCCCACGTTAAGGTGGCAGTTCATGGGTGAGAAATGGTCTAATACTGTATGTATGTTTGGCTTGTTCTGTTTTTTTTTCAACAAGTAGAGGAAAGTAATGAGATAAAATTATTCTGACAGTGTTGTGCTGAATGTTTTCCTCTTTTAAGTCCACAGAGACCAGTTAAGCAGGCAAAACTCTGTAAATTTGTGTTTTTGAACCTACCACAGAGCAAACTAGCACCACTTGCCACAGAGCCTGCCAACACTTAATGCTCTGCTCATGGTCCATAGCCTGTTGTTCCAGCAGACAATTCTTCCAAGTCCACCTGGGAGTAGATGGGAATTCTGTGGAGGCTTCAGTGCATAATCTAGCCATTCCAAATCACTTGAATTTGAATTTGCGATTCAGGCCTGTTTAACCTTACGATTTACCCGTAAGGGTAATTTTCCATTTGTAGTCCCAGGGCAGTGATCAACAAAAAGAGCAAGAGTTTTTTTAAAAGCAACATGCAGACAGAAAAAGCAGAAGATAGTAAAAGAACCAGCATCAAAATGTTCGCACAAACATAAGAACACAAACAAAAAACAAAAATACACAGAAATGTACTCTAGACGGTGACCGTGAGCTTTGAATATTCCCAGTTTGAGAAACCTTCTGAAGGTTCTCAGTTTTTTAATTTTCCTGATTTTTTTCTTCTTAAATAGGGTATCTGCTCCTACACCCATGAGGAGCTTTTGAGCATCAGACCCATCATCCCCATGGACCTACTGCCTGTTTTCTTGGTGTCTGCAGTTGATTTGGTTAGAAATGTATGTAGATTTTTCTTATGCCTTATTCTAATCTCCACTTTTTACTTGAGCCAAAGCAATTTCCAAGTTTGTGACTTTGAAAATTATTTTGATTCTTAATAACATGGAATTGAATTATGCTTTCAATTGATATTTTGCGAGAATCTGATAGTAATGAGATTGATTGTAGTATCTCAACAGCCTTTCGTGTTGTTTTATACGTCTGTGTCAGGCGGAAGCGGAATACTAAACCTTGAAATTGAAATCTGATTGTCAATTGCGGCAAGAATAATAACCTGAATTCAAGTTATGTAGGCGTGACTAAATGTTTTCACAGTGCCACTGGTAGAGCGGGATGTAGGTCAGGGTACAGCTGTGTGAACCTCAGCTGTGCTCCCGTCCACAGTCGAAAAGCAAAAACCTTGTGACAGCTTTGTGCGTGTGCGGCTCGACCTTAGTGCCATAATCAGTTAAAAGGTTGCGTTGTGGGGGCGTTAAAGGGAACACAAGAAGGACTATCAATTTATCACAGCTTTTGACCGTGTTATACTTGGTTTTAGGACGACATTGCACTCCCCTGACTCCTCTAACTACCGCCACCTTGACACTCACACTGTTTCTACTTCCATAATTTTCTTGTATGGATTTTTGGTTTGTGGATGATACGTTAGCCTTGCGCACAAATTTTAGCTCAAAAAAGGAAAATGTATATCTGCACATTGAGCTTTTTCTGTGGAGCTGTCATGGTATGGACTTTTGATGACTTTTACCTGGTTTGATTTATTGGTTCTTTTCAGTGTCATATCTGTTTGTTTTATTGCCTGTCCCGCCCTAATGTAGCCTGGTCTTACCAAACCATCGTACCAGTTTCATTTTGTAGTAAGGGTTGCTCCATTGAGCTCCGTTAAGAGGTTTGAGGGGAAAACTCCTATTGCAGATTGAAACGATTGGATCTGAGGCCCCGTTTATACAGAGGCGCTGCACAGACGTTGCCAAGCTATTAACAGAAACGACCAGGCTCCTAATGCAAATTTCACAGTGTTTATATGTGGATCAAAAACTATGTAGCTCTAGCGCCCGGCCAGCGCCAGGACAGAGTAGTGGGCAGAGGAACGTTACAGCCCCCCCGCCCTGTGAAAACATGCATCAACATCATTCTGCATTTTGCAGCAGCGAAAACTGAAACTAGAGCTTCACGTGGTCTCGTTTGGACGAACGCGAAGGAGTAGAATCCTCCTCTGTGTATGCACTCGAAGCACATGAAGCTAGTTAGTGTACCCGCCACCATTGTTTACGTTTGTTCTCGGCTACTGGGCATGTCCACCAAATTTACCGACATCCAACTATAGCGTTTTACTGCCACATTGTCGCCGTATAAACGGGGTCTGAGTTTGCTGTGACTTATGTATTGCGGCCGAGTGAGTCGCCAGCATTTAGCATTTAGCCTCGCTTTAGCCATTGACTTTTCCACTAACAGAGCCCATGGGGAGTAGAGGCACAAAATGTTTTCAATTAAATGCTCTGGCTTCAAATTCTTGATATTTGGAGCTGAACCAGAACGGATTACTATACTATTGCAATCGCCGCCATTGCCAAACTACAACCAGCAAATTTTGTGCAAACTCTTGACGTCACCGACACCTACCTACAACATCCGTCTCCCCCGCCCACTGAATTGTCGGATAGGATACAACTGCTTTTCAGATTCATGCTGCTAAAATCTGGAACAATCTTCCTGAAGATGTGAGACAGGCCTCCTCTCTGACAATGTTTTAAAACCAGGTTAAAGACAGTTCTGTTTAGCTGTGCATACAACTGAGGGATTTTATATATTTATCTTTCTTTTTTATGTACTGTGATTATTTATATTAGTGACATGTTAGTACCCTACAAACCAGCCCGGACTCTGAGGAGCACAGGGACTGGACTCCTGTTAGTGCCCAGAGCCAGAACTAAACATGGGGAGGCTGCTTTTCAGATTCATGCTGCTAAAATCTGGAACAGTCTTCCTGAAGATGTGAGACAGGCCTCCTCTCTGACAATGTTTAAAACCAGGTTAAAGACAGTTCTGTTTAGCTGTGCATACAAGCACAGCTAAGTTCTGTTATATCCCGGATTATGTTATTTTTGTGTTTTGTTTCTTAAATCTTTGCCTTTTTGGCAGTATTGCATTTTGGGTCCTTCTTCTGTTTTCACCACGTACCAGGAGCAGTGTCTTTGATGGGACCACTTCAAAGAGCAGAGAGACTGAATATAACAGTATGAAGACTCATCTCTATGATGACATTATGTTAGATCAATATTCAGATGTCAATAGTATATTATTTACTAATGAGCCACTGATGTCATAGATTTTCTTGGGACAGAAGCATGATACATATTTAGATCTTTCATTGTGCTCGCTGTCTGTGGATTATGACTTTTGTGGACATAGTAAGTAAGTTTTTTTATTTTATTTATATACCGCCTTTTCACTGCAGATCTGAGTCTCTCAGCGGTTTACAATTGTTAATTTTTGGGCATTTGTCTCTCACTCCACACAGAGATGGGAGCGGGGCCAGTACAGGAGGCACATGCTAGAACTATTGGACATATTTTTTAGTGGTAGGGGAAACCGGAGTACCCGGAGGAAACCTACGCAGACACGGGGAGAACATGCAAACTCCACTCAGAAAGGCCCTGGTCCGACCGGGATTCGAACCCAGGACCTTCTTGCTGAGAGGCGAGAGTGCTATCCACTCAGCCACCGTGCCGCCCGTATATAGTGTGTTTTGGAACTTGTTGTTGGTTGGATTTGGTATAATTTTTTTTATAAATTTCATTTCATGTTCACATTTTTTGATAATTAAACATGGATTAACATAAAAAATAAAAGGATCCCAACCCAATATGACAGAGCTTGAGCTGTTTTGAAATTAAGAATGGGGAAATTCATTTTCATAATGAAAGCATGTATTATTTTGTTTTCAATTCACACTTCTCTCTTCTGTTTATAAAGCACAATTATTGCAATTCAACAACCCAAAGTGCTTTAAAGAGACATATAGCATGTTCAAACAAAACGACCAAAAAAATTCACATAAAAACAACCCAGACTTGAAAAAAGCGAGTCAAATAGAATAATAAAGTCCCACGCTTAACATGACAACATTGTCAGGAAGACTGTAATCTGAAATGTTGCGTCTCCATGTTTTGTCCTGACACTGGGGACCAGCAGGAGGCCAGTCCCTGTGCTTCTCAGCATTGTGAATATCTATGGCAAAGGTTTGAATTGTGGACCCCATGTTGTGTGTGCTCAGGACACCCCCACCCCATCGGACCTGTCCCTGTACTGGCACTTCGGCCGGGGCCTGGGGGAGCCCCTCTACACACGAGTGGAGTCCTGGAGCATTCTGAGCACCACTCTGCAGGAGGCTCTGGATGCCTACAACGAAGTCAATGCTACACTCAGCCTGGTGCTGTTTGAGGACGCCATGGCACATGTGTGAGTGGACACGCACACACACGGACACAGCCACACACACATCTGGGGACAAACACACACACGTTAACACTCATGGAAACACTCTCTTACCCTACACCTCTCTCTGTGAGCTGAGAGCATCACTCTTTCCTCTATGTACTTATTGAGTCTTATTTCTTAGATTTTTAACTGGAACATGTTCCAAAGAGTAGCTCTTCGCATTGAGGTACATATTGATTTTTAAGTTATTCTAAATGTAGTCTTTAATTATGGTGAACATCTCTACCATGGAATACTTTTTATGCATTTGTAGCAGAGAGTTTGCAGATGCCTAGATTATTATTTGAGCCGTTTTAAAGTGAAGAAAGTCCTTCACTTTCTTTTGATCCAATAATCAGTGGTTTTGAAGCTTGTCAAGTGAAACATGGCAATGCTCTGTAATTTTCTCTGCCATGTAAGACAGGGAATAAGAACATTAAGTGCCATACCTTCCAACAGTCTGGTTAGATACTGTGATGGAAGACATCTAGCAACACTGTTCCTTTGGGTAAGACACTTCACTCACCTTCCCAAGTGTGAGTGAATGATTGGTGGTGGTCTGAAGGGCAGATGGGTGACTGAGATGTGGTCAATTATATTAATTGAGAAGCACTACAGTGGAAGCAGTGTCAGTAGTATATTTTATACTGTACACAAATCCTGATTTGAATGGACCCTCAGGGTTTGAGTTGGTCTGATTAAATATACATATACATATAGATTAACAAGAAAACTTCTTGTTGCAAACTGTGACTGTTGTTGGACAATGTAAGAAAGGTTTGAACTATTTAAAGTTAACAATAAGCCTTGTCTGGCCCTGCCCACCCCCTCCGGTGTCTGTTACAGCAGGCTGCAGGTATTTTGGGATTAGTGCTTCCATTTGTGCAGTGTCAAAAAACACAGACAGACAAATCTTCTTTAAGTCCCAGCACACATGCTGACTGCTAGAATGTGCACTTAACTCCCAATTCTGCTATGAAAATGTGCACAGGACAGGTTAGACAACTGATTGAGGTTTCAGTCCTGGCATCTTTCCTGCTCGGCATTAGGCTTTAGATTTATGAACATTGTGGATTTCACCATTGTGAGATCAATACAGTTTATCTTATCTTATGAAATGAATTGTCATTTAATAATTCATTATCAAAACTTTTGTGAGAAAGATGACAAAAGCAAGTTTGGTTGTATTGAAGGCACATACATATTTGTGATAAGGTGTTGTATGGTATGTCCCACAGTTTGGCTGTACCCAAAATGCGGGGCTAAAATAGTATATATATTATAGTTTATATAAGTATATTTCCTTGGCGTAATTCTAGTGGACATTGGTAAAATAAAATGTTTATTGTTTAATGTTCTAAGTTTCCAAATCACCAATTTTGTCCTTCATAACGGAAATATATATATTATTTATTTTACCCTGATTATTGATATAAAAAATTCAAAGTCATCAACACATCATAGAAACTTAGATCTATACAAGGCACTATGAGACACTTTGGGATGAGAGCTGATGTCATGTCATGTCATTTTCATCCCCTTTATTATTCCATTTCTGGGTCGGGGGGGGTGGCAATCAGAGCTGCCACCCAAGTCTCCTAGCACCAGTCCCTTGCTGATCCTCCTGCAGGTGGTGGGTCCACAGGAAGATGGCTTCTCCATCATCGAAGACATGGCCTTGGTCTTTCAGCGGGGGCTTCAGGCAATGTGGGATTAAGTGTCTTGCCCAAGGACACTATGACAGCAGACATCAGTGGGAGCAGTTGACATTGGTCGTGGTGGGCTCGAACCCACGGCTGTTAGGTCCAACAACCAGTGCTCTACCAACTGAGCTACTGTCGCCCCAAGAGCTGATGTGCGAGTGCCAAAAAATTTCTGATTTGTCATAGTGTAACAAACATGTGGACAGAAGGAGGGGGGCTGTGTGTGGGGACAGCGTTCTAACGTTAAAAAGGCGACTATGCATAATAAGTGACCTTTATTGTGAATGACGCTTGTGTCTCTGCTTCTCGCTTCATCTTACTTATATTTCACCTCCGGCGGTCTACTTCTGTTTTGTTTTGCTGACCGTCCGTGGTCGTCACGCCTCTCTGTCTGGCCACCCCCACAGCTGCCGCATCAGCCGCATCCTGGAGTGCCCTCGAGGGAACGCCCTGCTGGTGGGAGTAGGCGGCAGTGGCAAGCAGAGCCTCACCCGTCTGGCAGCCTTCATCTCGGGGCTGGAGTTGTCCCAGATCACCCTGAGGAAAGGCTACGGCATCACAGACCTCAAGGTTCCTCACACACCTCCACAGCCCTCAGACACTTCACTTAAAGAACAAATGTAATGGATTATTCTTGGCACTTCAACACTCTCATGATAATTTGTATGTTTTGCGGCACGTATGCGTCACAGCAAGAAGGTCCTGGGTTTTATTTCACCATCAGACAAGGCCTTTCTTTGTCTGTATAGGTTTCCTCCAGGTGCTCCGGTTTCACCTACCGCTTAAAAATATGTACAATTATTCAGGGTGAATGAGTTCGACTCAGGGACTGCAGATGGAAATTAGCTTTTAAAAACAACCTCCAATGTGGTGTATTTACAGTCACTTTCATTATTACACACTGTCACGTCCAAACAAACTAATAAATACAAATACATATCATACCCTTGCGTCTGCAGCCCCTTTTCAGATGTTACTGTTGATCTTACAAAAAAACGTAAACTACACAAAGGATACTATGGCTGAGGGGTTAAAATGAGGGTACTAACATAACATAATAGTGGAAGGATAGGGATAAAAAGGTGGAGGGACATGTTACTGTATTTACCAGGATCAGTTCAATTTAAAAAAAACATTGTGTAGATCCCTACATGTATATCACAACAGCAATCACTTTGTAAAGGTTGATTTTCCAACAGCAGTATCAAACAATTGGAACACAGGAAATGCGTGTTCCAAAAAATTTGAAACAAATGTCCTCGATCCTCATCCTCCTCCATCGACAAGGAATGCCACAAAAACCAGTGGGGTAAAATGTGAGGAGGAACTCAGGCCTTATAACCAGGACTCAATTCAATTTAACTTACATTTGTTTTCTTATACCCTAAATCACAACATCAGTCGTCTCCGAAGACTTTACAAATTCACCAACATCAGATCAGAGAATCAAACAGGATAAAGGTGCAACATATGGTATTCTTAGTATAAAATCCAAGGCCAATTTTTCAAACCTCAAGACAGAACATGAACCACAGCCAAGACCAGCTACATGGATAGAAATGCTAGAAAGTAAGACACAGTTATCATATCAACCATTTTATTTCATTTTGGATTGGTTTGTATTGCATTACGTTGTTAGTGGACAGTTTTAGGATAGTCTAAACTTGTGTCTTTTGCCGCGTCCGCTCCGAGTATCCAGGTCAGCCCTAACTTTAGTTGTGGTAGTTTGGTGGTTCTCTCCTTGCTCCTGGCTTCTTCCTTGCTGCATACATGGGATTCTTTGTGACACGGCTCACATCAGCAGCTGTCACATTGTGCCCAGGTGCACAACACCGGCTGACACTTTTAATGGCACACCTGAACTCTGACTCTGCATTTGGAGACTCATTTCCACACTCTAAACAAAAGTTGTATAACTATGGAAAAGGCCATCAGGGCAAAACTGCACAGCAGATGGAAACTAGTGACTCAGCCCCACGTTTACCAAGCCTTTACTCTCAAAGAGAAAGGACTTCAAACATGCTGTGATACTGATTTTAACGGCACTTTCATTATTGCATTTACATTATTACATTTATTATTTTTTGAACAATAAGCTCTATTTTCTACCAATGAATCCTTTTTTTAAATGTATTTCTTTTATGTGGATTGGATAAGTCAAAGAACACAATTATAGTGGGTATAATAAAACAAATACGGTTCAGCATGGGTTCAATTTTGTTCGAATTCATTTTATTTTTGTATGGCCCTATATCACAACAGTTATCTCAAAGCATTTCACAAAACTGTTGACTTTGCCAGAGAATAAAACACAAGAACAAACACAATAAATGAAATGGTACAAAACACATTAAGCCATTGGTCCATAAGGGGCAGATGACCAATGCCCACAAATGCAGATAAAGTCCATAAATGTTGTTGAATGTGGAGTGTTCTGGATCACCACTGTCCTTAGACCCTCCTGCATCGACAAAGAACAACTCAAGGACTCAAGCTGTACAACAAGGACTGTTTTAAGAGCCTTTGTGTGACTGTAGAATGCACTGCGTCTAATCACAGCTTTTATTTCCGGCACATTTTTAACAATGTGCTAATTGTTAATTAGGAATATGTTCATTAGCCATTAGTGACATTTCACCAGTGCCCTGCTGGGACCTCTTTTCACCTGAGACTTTCATGCAGGTGTTAAACACCATCAGAGAGGTGCTCAGAACACTCAATCCCGATTACCCAGCATGCCTGATCTTAGTTTGTTAGTGATCAACGGCACTTGGAACAGCATGGGAAGATTTTTACAAAATCAGCTATTATTCATATTTTTCTCCTTCAAAAATAATAAACAAAAATAAGTTTGAAATGGCATGGATAGATTTAAATCTGAATAAGCCATCGTAAGTGTGACGCTCTACCATACACACAAACTGGCATCTATGGCATTAGAAGATTGAGTGGCAGCTATAGCATCACAATGTCTGAGATAATGAAGAGTAAATGCAGTCAATGTGTGCGCACCACTTTACATATGTAGTAGTCTGTGGCGGGCTGCAGTAAGTACACACACACACACACACACGCGCACGCGCACGCACACGCACACGCACACGCGCACACACACACGCACACACACACACACACACTCACACATGCACACACATACACATGCACACACACACACTCACACTCACACATATGCACACACACACACATATGCACACACACACACATATGCACACACACACACACACACACACACACACACACACACACACTCACACATACACATGCAAACACACACATGCAGTCACAGTTTTAATTTCAAAGCATATGCAGAAAAGCACACCATGAGGTGTCCAAATCCATTGATAATCTCTACAAAGCATGAGACGTTTCAAACATAAAAGCTTTGTTTCTAACATATTGTTCTTTAGTGCTGCTCTGTTTGTCATACTGTGCAGAGGTTTGGGGAAAGGCAGGAAAAACATGTCTAGATTCTGAACAGAAATTAAGAAAAAAAAACTATTAGAATATTGAGTAAAGCACCTACCAATAATGTATGTATACTAGGGCTGTCAAACAATAAATGTTTAATCGAGTTGATTACAGCTTAAAAATTAATTAATTGTAATTAACCGCATTTCGAACTATCGGCAAAAGGATGCCATATTTTTCTGTAAACGGTTTATTGAATGGAAAGATAAATGACAACAGTATGAACATATGTACTGTGTTTGTTTGTTACAACAGCAATAAATCCACATAAAATGGCATTAACATTATTAACATTATTATTCTTTCTGTGGTAGACACTGTCTTTTGATTTTTGGATCCTTAACATTATTGTGCCTCCTGCTGGTTGCACAATAATGTTGAGGGACGCTACTCTCAATGTTTTAGCGACAGCCTTATCTTCAACGATGCTAATCCAGGCCTGGATTTATATGGTATGTGGACCACATACTGTAGCGCAGCCATTCCCAAAGTCAGTAACACCCCCTTAAAAATCTGACGGGTCTGCGCGGCCCCCCGAAATAATAATCAAGAAGACAACGTTCAAAATTGTCTTTTCTCGTTATTTTATTTGGAGGAAATAACTACAAACATGTAAATGACGCACCCCATTTTGTAATACAAAAATGATTACAACTTGATTATTCAAGTCAAATAATGAACACAAATATTTTAATATTACAAACAAAATATTATTGATTTAACAAACAATACTTATATAGAACAAACAGCCACCCTGAAATACCCCACTTTGGAAAGACACTGCTTTAGAGGATGTATGTAGTTTCAACAATTGAAATAAAGAGCAATAGTCTACGTTTCAAGAGAGTAATCAACATGTCACTACACAGACTGAGGAAGATGGACACAGACCAGAAGTATTGTTTGTTACAGGAATGAGAATGGGCCATTTCTAAAACGTCTGAAATGCATCATGTCAGCCAATGGAAACAGGAAGAGGGTGAAGGGAGTAAACACATCCCATTGGTTTGTTGGGGATGAACGAATCCCATTGGTTTATTTTTATCGGGCCACTTCAAAATATTGTCTATAAATTTTTGCAGACTATATGCATCTGGTCGATTCCATTACTCTTTGAAAACGCATGATAACTTAAATCCTTTAGGGAAGTTTTCCCGCAATATTTTAAAAAATGCGTCTGGAAAAAATCACTGACTGCATCTTTAAGCCTCCAGGCCTCTGGTACAGGACCCGAGCTATGCTGATAATCATAATTATACAAAATGTTTCATTCACTTTATTGTTTTGACTTTGATGTTATTTATTTATGGAAATCCCGTTGAGATATTTTTGAGAGGGTTCCATGAACATGAAGATATGCCTCAGAATATTGATGACATCAGATTCAGATTCAGATTCGGTTTATTTGCCATTTGCAGTAAAAAAAACCACATTGGAATACATTAGCAAAAAGTCACCAGTGTGCACAGACAAATACAGACATAAAACAACATCATCTCTTGTTTGGTGCTGGTTCTGGACTTATTGCTCTGTCTCTGTTCCTCTGTTTGAGCAGAGTGACCTGGCCTCTCTCTACATCAAAGCTGGTGTGAAGAACATTGGCACAGTTTTCCTGATGACCGATGCTCAGGTGGCAGACGACAAGTTCCTGGTCCTGGTCAATGATCTGCTGGCCTCAGGTATGCACATTCTCCACCTGCCATTTTCATTACAAAACAACTGTTTGGACATTTCTTGTGGTAAACATACAATCCCTAACCGGGGATGACCCTCATGGTTGATGACCCTCATGGTTGATGACCTTCATGGTTGATGACCCTCATGGTTGATGACCCTCATGGTTGATGACCGGATGCTCGTACAATTCATCATGGCTTTCTCCTCATTGTGCTTCTTGAAACTACAAATTTTTCTGGAAGTTGTCGTTACATATTTGTTGGTCTACCTGAGCATTTGTGTCATCATGAGTGGATGTTAGGCTATCATCTCCAGGGTACATGTTAGAAAATATAAAGAGTAAACAATGTTCTTAAAAATGTGAGACAGGCTTCGACAGTGGTGAACAGTTCTGTGCTGTAACTTTTTATAATGCACTGCTTGATTTTAATGTTTCTTTTTTGTGAAGCACTGTAAGTTGCCTTGTGTATGACCTGTGCAATACAATATATGTGGCGCCATCTCTGAAGCTTAGCAGGGCAGGGCCTGGTTAGTACTGTGATGGGAGACCTCTGAAAACACCAGGTGCCACAGTGGTCAAGCTGTCGTTGTGTCCTTTAGCAAGGCACTTTGCCTACCACACATTACCATGGGATCCAACACTGTGGATGTGCCATGTTTCTAAACATATTACTAAACATAATTTTGGAATATAGATCTAGCTCGACATTCATTAAGATCAACAGACTCTGGAGGGATAGGCTCCAGTCACCGTATTAAACATGAATCAGTTTTATGAGTGTTATTAAACCCAATAAAACTTGTGCTAATCTAATCTTTCTCTACTTAACATGCACAATATAATAAGGCCGTGTCATTCGGAGAGTGCACTACATATCCAAGATGAACTTCTCTCACAAGTAATTGAATGGTTTAATGTTTAATTCTTAGAGATTACTGGAATGCTTATGAAGTTTAAAAAAAATAAATCCTGTACCACAACCCATTACAATGTTTTTCTTACTTTAATCTTTGTGGTACAGTTAGAACGTCCACAGTTAGAATTTGTAAGATTTATCAAAGAAATTGAGGGGAAGGTTAGCAGCCGCAGTGACACCTCAGGGCTAGACTTGGACAGAGAAAATAAATTAGGCAGGGTTTTCTATTAAGGTGCAAATGCTCTGTGACTCACTCCGTTATAAGTGTAGGCAGCAGCCGCAGTGCAGAGGACACTGGGAAATCTGTGGTGTCCTCATGTTGTCAGCTCAATGATATATATGAATATTGGGGTAAAGAAATAACATGGGGAACATGGCCATTGTATATATTTTATAGTATTTGGTGACTTTTGTATAATATTTAGAGCTTAAGATATATAGAAAACAACAATGAATGTCTAATAATGTCTAAAGTAGGCTTAAAGCAGGTCTGCAATACTGAACCAGGACTGAATTAGGACAGACGCTGGACTAAATCAGGACTGAACCGAAGGAGGGCCATAGGCTTTTAACATGCCCTGAATCAGCCTTCTGCAAAAGTGAACAACTAATATTCATTTTGTTTCATTTAGACTTTATTAAAGTGATAGTCTGGAACTCTAAATGAATTACAAATTTTAAGAATTGTATTAAATTGATCTTCTGTCCTTAAATGTTTATATAAAATAAGTCATTTTATGAATTCTAATATCACGGGTATGTCCCGCCTTCCCTTCTCTTAGCTATAGCTCAAAATCCACGATGCTGTCCACGTTAACCAATCAAGTGATGCCAAGGGCTGTCAATCATCAGCGCTGATGCTCGTGGCTGCTCACATGCTCAGTTGTTTGTTTTCACGGAGCCTCCGAATCAAGCCTCTATTAGGCTCTGGAACTACATGAAAACTGAACAAAGAATTCTGAACATCCGCTGAGTTACCCATTTATATACTGAACCTGTATCCATAATCATTTATATACTGACCCTATATCCATAATCATTTATATACTGAACCTATATCCATAATCATTTATATACTGAACCTATATCCATAATCATTTATATACTCAACTTATATCCATAATCATATCCTCTGCAGATGTGTCCTATAATGTGCAATGAATGATAATAGCTACTTCTGGGTGCTTCTTTTCTTTTGTGCATTAAAACATTATCTTTGTCACAAAAGCGTTATCAAATAATTCTGAGAACCTCCGTGCATATGTATAATTAACATTTAAATGTGTTGATTGATTGTTAAGGAAACGTAGGCGTAGACCAATCAGAAAGGAAGGGGAAGGGAGCTTGGGTCGTTTTTTTTCAAATCATGTACCTCTCTCTCTCTTTTTTCTGACTAACTCCAGACAATCACTTTAAGGACTCATATGCAGGCACAGGATCCATAGTTAATTAGATGAATAATGAGAAAGAAACAATATATATATAAAGATTAAGAAAACACCCCTTTCTAATATTACACTTGGTGTGTTTAATACAGTTAGTCTTGGGATATTTGTACAGCATAGAATATGGTTAAAAAAGGATCTTAATATTGTACTGTAACCACTGCCATATAATATCTTTATATTGGTTGATATTAACCATAGAGATTAATTATAGCTATCGTGCAGGAGAGATCCCAGAGCTGTTTGCGGATGACGAGCTGGAGAACATCATCTCCAGTGTGCGGCCAGAGGTGCGCAGCTCGGGGGCCTTGGACTCCAGGGAAAACTGCTGGAGGTTCTTCATCGAGAGGGTCCGCAGACAACTCAAGGTACATGTTGCATAATTTGACTAGACCAGGAATGAAGATCAAGGAAATCCAAACATTCCATTTATATTGCTGCAAATAAGGTGATCTCTTCCCTGTCCCTGTGTCTTAACCATTCTCTGAGGGCGCTCCTCCGGAATCTGAATGTATACTTTTCTCTCCCCCAGAAACAATGTCTTCGCGCTCCTTATGAAGTAGAACGTCTTTAGTCTTATGTATTTTTCTACAACAAAGTTAGCTTGTGGGCAGCACGGTGGCACAGTGGTTAGAGCTTGTGCCTCACAGCAAGAAGGTCCCGTTTTGATTCCACCTCCAGACCTTTCTGTGTGGCGTTTGCATGCTCTCCCTGTGTTTGCGTAGGTTTCCTTCGGGTGCTCTGGTTTCCCCTACCACTAAAGATATGTATTATTAGTCTGACATGTATGGTGACCCCACTCCTGTGGAGTTATAGACATTTCCTACGTTTCTACAGAGATAGCTCCCCAAGTGCCCTTTCCTCTGCTATGATCTCACAAGCAAGTTGCAACAGATATTTGAGGACACTATTATTAGAGAAGCAAAGGAAATCACCTCAGACCTCTCTCATGGTCTTTACTCTCAGTATGAGCTTCTCCCATCCGGCCACCGCTACAGAGTCCCAACTAGAAAATAAGAGAATACACCTGAAAGAGAGAGACTATAGAGAGACCAGAGAGAGACCAGTGAGAGACCAGTGAGAGACCTCAGAGAGACCATAGAGAAAGACCACGGAGAAAGACCATAGAGAGAGACCATGGAGAGAGACAAGAGTTAAACCAAAGAGGGACCACATACAGACCAGAGAGAGACCAGAGAGAGACCAGAGAGAGATCAGAGAGCGAGAACAAAGACACCAGAGAGAGACCAGAGAGAGACCAGAGAGAGAGACCCGAGAGAGACCAGAAAGACAGGCCAGAGAGACAGAGAGAGACAGAGAGAGACCAGAGAGAGACCAGAGAGAGATCAGAGAGCGAGAACAAAAACACCAGAGAGAGACCAGAGAGTGACAAGAGAGAGAGAGATACCTGAGAGAGAGACCAGAGAGAGACCAGAGAGAGACCAGAGAGAGAACAGGGAGAGAAAGCAAGCCATCAAGCAGGGGGGTGATGGTTTATGTCTGTCTTACTGTATTTTTTTCTATGTCTGTTATATGTGTAGACTGTGAGTCCAAGACAAATTTCATCCAGGAACCCTAACCCATAAAAAAATTATCTTGAATCTTGAATATGGGCCTGACATGTAGTTAATTCAGCTCTAGTTTCCAGTATCTTGGATCTTAAGTAAACCCAGAGAGCTCCATGTGTTGTCTCCTGCAGCAGGGGAAGATAAGGTTACGGCTCACTTTATCATCCCCGAACTGAGAAAAAGGCACTAATGCATCAGGAGAAGAGTGGGACTGGCTCTTCCTGAATGGAGTTTGCATGTTCTCCCAGTGTCTACGGATTTTCCAGGTGCTCAGGTTACCCCTACCACTAAAAACATGTACAAAAAGTAAAATCTTCCATCTCTGGTCCTGAAAGAAGCCCTATAGTGGCATTCCAGGATGAATCAAATGCAAAGGACAAATTGCAATCATATAAAGTGTACCTTAATCTCTCCATCGAGATAGTATGTTTGCATATATAGTATTATCTGGCGAGTTTTGCTTCTGGTGAATTCTTTGTGTTGGTGGGGAGTACCCTTTGTGCTGCTATGTGGGAATTTTGATAAAAATGAATGCACCAATCGTGTTGCGACATGACAAAGTAAGCCTTTGGTCTTCCTACATTTCCTGCGGTTCTACAGAGATAGCGCCCCAAGTGCCCTTTCCTCTGCTATGATCTCACAAGCATCTGCATTCATGTGAGGATGGAGTCGCCCCCCCACGCCATCACACATCCTGACATTTCAGATTAACTCAGACGCTGGTGGACGCTTCTACTGTTTGTATCAATCTCCAACACAGGCCTGAATCCAATGTCTACAACTGCGCATCATTCGAATATGCTTTGTGTTCCCTTGAGGCACAAAACAGTTCCAGGGGGTTTCTTATCCTGTCAGGACTACACCCACTTCCAACTCCCTCCATCCCGCTCCGACTGCAAATAAATGAGGAGCCAGTCCCCTGAGCAGAGCCCGCAATCACACCCTTTCCTCCTATTTGCCTGCTGTCTCGCTCTCTCCCTCAGCCGCCGCGCTATCGTCCCGGAAAAGTTTGTATTCAAGTGTCAAAGCGTGACAGCATGGAGAAGATTAGTGCGCAAAGCGGATGCAAAGCGCGGCTCATGTGGGTATTAGGTGGGGACGATGTCGGCAAATGGAGAAAATTGCAATTGTTGTTTTGGGGATATGCACGTTTAGAGGTATATCTGGAGTTTAAAGGAGACATATCATGCATTATGGGGCGACAGTAGCTCAGTTGCTAGAGCATTGGCCTTTGGGCCTGAAGGTCGTGGGTTCGAGCCCACCGTAAGACCTACTTCACGACTCCCACTGATGACTGCTGTCGTTGTGTCCTTGGGCAAGACACTTAACCCCACTTTGCCCAAAAGCCCCAACTGAAAGATCTCAGCTCCTGTGGACTCACCACCTGCAGGAGGATCAGTGAGGGGCTGGTGCTATGTGTACTGGGTGCAGCTCTGACTGCCAACCCCCCGACCCGGAAATGGATGGATGGATGGATGGATATCATGCATTATTTTTGGCTCTTGGAACTGTTTACCGGAGCCCTGTATGACCGGAGCCAGAGCTGTGTTCGCATTGCCGGCAGTAAGTCAGACCTGTTCCCGGTGAATGTTGGCCTCCGACAGGGCTGCCCTTTGTCATCGGTTCTGTTCACTGTATTTATGGACAGAATATCTAGGCGCAGCCAGGGGTCGGAGGGGGTCCGGTTCGGAGACCACAGGATTTCATCTCTGCTGTTTGCGGACGATGTTGTCCTGTTGGCTCCAACGAACCAGGACCTGCAGCATGCACTGGGACGGTTTGCAGCCGAGTGTGAAGCGGCTGGGATGAGAATCAGCACCTCCAAATCCGAGGCCATGGTGCTCGACCGGAAAAAGGTGCCTTGCCCTCTGCAGGTGGGTGGAGAGGTCCTTCCTCAAGTGGAGGAGTTCAAGTATCTCGGGGTCTTGTTCACGAGTGAGGGAAGAATGGAGCGTGAGATTGACAGGCGGATCGGTGCAGCGTGCGCAGTTATGCGGTCGCTGTATCGGACCGTTGTGGTGAAGAGGGAGCTGAGCCGAAAGGCAAAGCTCTCGATTTACCGGTCAATCTTCGTTCCCTCCCTCACCTATGGTCATGAGCTTTGGGTAATGACCGAAAGAACGAGATCGCGGATACAAGCGGTCGAAATGAGCTTCCTCCGCAGAGTGGCTGGGCGCTCCCTTAGAGATAGGGTGAGGAGCTCAGTCACACGGGAGGAGCTCGGAGTAGAACCGCTGCTACTCCACGTCGAGAGGAACCAGTTGAGGTGGCTCGGGCATCTGTTCCGGATGCTTCCTGGACGCCTCCCTGGGGAGGTGTTCCGGGCACGCCCCACCGGGAGGAGGCCCCGCGGAAGACCCAGGACACGCTGGAGGGACTATGTCTCTCAGCTGGCCTGGGAACGCCTTGGGGTCCCCCCGGACGAGCTGGAGGAAGTGTGTGTGGATAGGGAAGTCTGGGCGTCTCTGCTTAGACTGCTGCCCCCGCAACCCGGCAACGGATAAAGCGGAAGAAAATGGATGGATGGATGGAACTGTTTACTTTACTGTTCCTTGTATTACCCATAAGACTGATATATGGTCAATACTTTTTGTTTTAGTTTTGTTGAGTGTGTGGTAGAATGTGGTACAATGGGGTCATACCAGAGGTGGGACAAAGTCATTGTTTGGCAGGTCACTAGTTAGTCTCAATTGGTTGCCCTCAGTACAGAACAATAAAAAGGACCCGGGTTACACAAGTCTTTATAAGTCAATATGTGCAATTCCAAGCTCTGTCAGAGTCATTGATGTTAAAGTTCAAGTTGAGTTGCAAGACTCTTTATATTTTAGAAATCAAGTCTAAAGTCATCAAATTCATGATTCGAGTCCAGACCTCTGCCAAAACCCATATACTGTGAACGCAAACGTCTGGGCAAAAGAAAATTGCGTCATAGTCAAATTCTAGCTGAGGTTGAACAAACTGAAGTGTTTTCTTCCATCTAGCATTGAGATCATGTATTGAAGTCGAGGGTACTACGGAAGCCTTCGATGGACAATATGTCATATATGAGGTGTCCAACTCTCAGTCATTCACCAGGGCCAATGAAAGAATCCTTTAGTTTGATAAATGACTGGATCTCTCCATACGTCTTGGTCACTTGACACAGTAGCTTGGAGGCGACAAGACCTCGTTCTTGTCGCGTACCATGGATCTATTATCATATATAGTTTTACAAACGCAGTGTGAAGAGAAGAGACGTACGGAGGAATAACGTCTGTGTGAGCTTAAAACCCCAAAGATCAAAGAAGCCAGGACAACCAATGTATGTCAAGATGGCACATTGATACAAAGAGTCCTCCAGCCTCATGTACATGTCTTTGTCAAATTCTAATCCTATGACAACAATTTAAAAAATAGTAGAGGTAAATATTCTAAAAAAGGTTTGTTATAGGTTTTTGTTATGGGTAAACATATTTTAATTTGGAGCAACTGTAAAAATTGCACAGGGTATCTTAGACTACTCATTTGTATTACTTGTTGACCCTCAGTCCTCTCGTGCATCATGGTCAATAGGAAAGATTTATCCAGGATCAGATGGACGGGTTTGCACTGCCAAAATAACTGTTAGGATTAAAGAACACCTGCAGCCTGTCGCCAGACTAATACCTATAGGAGGATCTTTGTTTACATCCGCGTGCACAAGCGCCACTTGCTGGGTGGCAAGAAGACATAGCGGCACATACAAAAGCATGGATGGGCAAAATGCACTATATATAAGCCCTTTAACACAAGAAGATCGGAGAAGACATTTATATACGCAA